ACGTCGATATTTGAAGTAAAACCATGGCTAATTTTCATAAGAGCAGTATTGTTTGTGTGCGTTGGTGCTTTTATTCCAATGTTTAAAATGGCTGAATGAACGGTGTATTCTGTTGAATATTCATATTTTGGCATTGCATACAGTGAAATGATTGTGAATGAAAAATGACACAGGATAGTGGCTAACATCTAATACAGATAAATAAAAGATCTCACACACACTGAGTGTACACTGATTATTATTTTTTTTTTACAGAACCTGATTTTTTTTACTATTTTATTTTGATCAACTAAAACAATAATAAAGGTCTCTAATAGTTTGTACAAGAACAATCTATTTTCTATTTTTTTCAATGATTTTTCTATTTTTTAAGGTTTATGATACCCAACTAAAGAGCAATCAGAATATTTCATGAGGTTCTTCCAGCAAGCAGTGTTCCAAGACAGTTTTCTTTGATCAAATAAATAAAGAAACTGTTTAATTTAATTTAATATAATATATTTTTTAATATCATATCTGTATTAGCTAGAATTTTAATGTTGAAGAATCCATAGTATCTATTTGATTACAAGCCAATATATTATTTAAATATAAAATAAATGAAATTCATAGCAAATAATAATAATAATACAATGTAAAAAATAATAATTTTATCACACAATAAAACTAGACTGACAGGAAAGTGTAAAATTGATACACGAGTGACACAAAATGACGTGCACATCTTTAACTGCACGTGGAAGTGGTGTATTTTGAGTTGTGTAAATTGTTGTGATGTCCCTTGAAAAGCTCAGAGCAGAAGTACACTAACCTTCACAGCCTCGCTCCACTTGCCCCACACGGTGCAAAGCATCTGCGATCAAGTCAGGAAGCCTGCCATTCAGGTCAACTGAGGCCAGGCAGCCCTGATAGCCATCCCGCGATGCTATGAGCTTGGGCAGACTGTTGTACATGCTCTTCCCAATACCTCCAATGTACAGCTCTCCTATATGACACACAGAAAATATACACCGTCATCAACACATATCACAATAAGGTTCATTCAGTGGATTTCTTCTTCAAATTCAGCTGATTCTCCATCTGGGGTTGAATATCTGTCTTTAAAATAAGGCAGAAATCAAAGATGATAGTGTTGCATTTAAATGATGTTCTTCATGTTGATTGGAGCTTCATAAGGTGTGATCCTGTGGTACTCTATGATGAGCTGAATATGTGTGGTTCTCTTTTCAACTAATTCCCTGCTGATGAAGGCTAATTCCAGTGAACCTTTGATGTGCAGAACAAAAAGAAAAACAGGGTTGTCACAAAACGGCATATAATTATGTAACATCAAAGTTACCCTTGAGCAACTTTGACGAAGAGAGCATGTGGATAAGCATATGTGAAGATGAAGGAGACGGGAACCCCAGTACGATATATAGACACTGTTCTCGCTATAGGCTCCGTTACAATGCTCATCTGTGGTGTTTGGGAGTGGGATTTTGCTCAGACAGAGATTTAGGAATGGAAAGGAGAGGTGGAGAATTGAAATGACTTGGCTCTTGAACACAGTACAACGTGTCCCTGCGTCTTAAGAGCAGGCTGAAGCAACACTGTTCAGAGGAGGCCATGTATAATACCCCCCCCCCCCCCCAAAAAAAAATGCAGTCTATCTAAATTCCTGGATTGAAAATAATATAGTAAGATAATTTTGTAAACATAGTGTAAATTCTATGCAGAGTTTGAAATTATTGTGTGAAATGATTAGTGTGGTATGATCTAAGGACCACAGAATGAAAACCATGTAGATGTATAATTAATATGTATTATTTTATACATAGTATTTTTTTTTTAATCATTTGTCAACGCTTGTTGACAAAACTGGGCATCAGCATGTAGTAACGGCATATAATAATAATAATTATTATTATTATTTATAATATAAGCTATACTATATGCTATATTCTATATTGCCCAGTCATTATTACATAATTAAATAATACAACAATGCAATATTCTGAATATACAATATTTTTACTGTACAATTACTATACAATATTACTATATCCTATATGCCCAGTTTTGTCAGTTTTTGTCATATATTACATTATGATATAATATAACAATATAATATTTTTGGATATATTTACTATATAACAACAACAACAATAACAATAATAAATTATTATTATTATTATACAATATGCTATATTCCTATTTCCTATATTGGACAGTTTTGTCAGTTTTTTTGTCAAATATTACATTATAAAATAATATAATTTTTGCATTAGTAGTAGTAGCATTATTATTGCTAATATTGGTCACACTTCTCACTATGAACCATGGGCGACGCTAGGGAGGGTGCTTCAGCACCCCCAAGAAAGACAAAAGCACCCCCACAGATTTTAACCCATTATTATCATGCTGTAGCCTATTGTATTTAATAATTAAGATGATAATAATAAAAAAAAAGAAACAAAGAAACAAAAACTAAAAAAATGTACTCCTTACACATGCATAACTCGTGCAATTGAATAACCACGTGATTTGCAGCTGTCACACTTTTCGTAATGTCATTATAGCATTTTATTTAAAAAATGCGCTTCCTTGAGCTAAGTAGGCCTGCCCCCGATTAACGATTTTTCTAGTCAACTAGTTGCACGTTATATTAAATTAATTAATATAATAATATATTAACCATCCTTTAATATATAGGCAGGTGTAGGCTATGATGCTATAGCCTATTCCGTGCTCAAGATCGCGCATAAAGCAATTGCCTCAAAGCACCGGCAAAGTGATTATGAACGTGTCGGGGGGAAAAGAAGACATTTTAATTAGGGATGTTCATTTTTAACCGGTTAACCTTGCTTCAGCACCCCCAAGAAAGACAAAAGCACCCCCACAGATTTTTTCCTGGAATCCATTATTATCATGCTGTAGCCTATTGTATTTAATAATTAAGATGATAATAATAAAAAAAAAGAAACAAAGAAACAAAAACTAAAAAAATTTACTCCTTACACATGCATAACTCGTGCAATTGAATAACCACGTGATTTGCAGCTGTCACACTTTTCGTAATGTCATTATAGCATTTTATTTAAAAAATGCGCTTCCTTGAGCTAAGTAGGCCTGCCCCCGATTAACGATTTTTCTAGTCAACTAGTTGCACGTTATATTAAATTAATTAATATAATAATATATTAACCATCCTTTAATATATAGGCAGGTGTAGGCTATGATGCTATAGCCTATTCCGTGCTCAAGATCGCGCATAAAGCAATTGCCTCAAAGCACCGGCAAAGTGATTATGAACGTGTCGGGGGGAAAAGAAGACATTTTAATTAGGGATGTTCATTTTTAACCGGTTAACCTTTAACCGACCGTATAGAATTTTGACCGATTAATACAATCAGTTAAACGGTTTAAAAAGTAATTTTTTTTTTTTTCAGTAATTTATCAAAATATTTTAAAAGATTTGCTGCATGTTTAAAATTTTGTTTTTTTAGAGAAAAAAAAAACAAGTCGCGTATAAGTCGCATTTTATTATTTCATTCAGAATCAGAATCAGAATGAGCTTTATTGCCAGGTATGTTTACACATACGAGGAATTTGTTTTCGTGACAGAAGCTTCCACAGTGTAACAGAATGACAGTGACAGAACAAAAACACAGATAATAAAAAATTAAAATAAATTAAAAATGAAAAATAGAACAAGTAAATAAGGAATAAAAATATACAAATTGACAATTGTATGTACAGGTGTATAACAATAGACAGTTGTATATACAGGTATATTATGTGCAAATTGAAATCGTAGCGTCGACCAGATGGCAACAGTTCAAAGAGGGAGTGTGCTGGATGTGAGGGGTCCAGAGTGATTCTGCCAGCCCTTTTGCTCACTCTGGATGAGTACAGTTCTTGGAGAGAAGGGAGGGTTGTACCAATGATTC